CAAGCCTCAAAATAAAACGACCACTTTTTTCCTTTTTGCCTCAGAACCAGCTCTCCCTAGAGATTGCTGCTGTTCTTCAGCACTAAGCTTGCAACAGTATCGAGTCAGAGCCTACCCCCCTCTGCTGGGCCTCTCAGCTGGCAAGCTAGCTCGCTGTTGCTACGCAGTTTTGCCTCAGCTTTTTCCCGCCAAAACTATGCTGCCTCTGAGCACCTTAATCTAAGTCTCCCCAGTTGGCACGTTCTTCTACTAGTGCACCTCCCCGTGAGGTACACCTAGAAGATTACCTACGCGCCTCAGACTGTCCCTGACTAGACCCCCCTTGCTCTGGGCACACTTGCCAAGGCTTTGCTGGACCGCTGGACAACTGGACCAGTCGTATCCCACACGCTGGACACCAATCAATGTGACAAACCCAGACCTACTGGGATATGTCACACAGTTACACTAAGCTGCCACCAACCATTCCCTACAAGAAGTCACACAGACCAGGGATGGATTTTCAAACAATAAAAAGAACAAGGTTTATTTAAATACACACACAGGCAAATAAAATGATCAGGTGTATAAAATAAAGTAACGTGGCTTATCCTCACTCATACAAGCATACAGTTTGGTTCACACAGAACCCTTAACTTAAAGCACAGACCCTGAACCTATCAGTTCTGGCTAACCAACAGACACCTGAACCTATCAGGTTGGTACTCTGACACACAGCAGTACCCTGTCTGACACACAGACTCCCACAACAGCTTCTTCTTCCCAGCTGCTGCTTCGTCACATCCCAGTGTCTCCCAGTGTCTCTCTTTCACCACACACGCTCCACATATATATATACAGTACAGCCCCTCCTCCTGATGTCCCGCCTTCCACTCCCCATAGGATGGAACTTTCCCTCCAAACCCATGACAGACAGGTAACATCAGTGCTGTATGTAACAGACGGCACTCCGAGCCTAGCCTCTTTGCTCTTGTCCCAGGTCTCACAATCTGATGTGTGCAAACTCACAAAAACTCAACACTTTTGGCAGGAACTACATGATCACACTTAGAGATGGGCACAAACCTTGGATGTTTGTAACATCAGTGCTGTATGTAACAGACGGCACTCCAGCGAGAGCCTCTTTGCTCTTGTCCCAGGTCTCACAATCTGCTGTGTGCAAACTCACAAAAACTCAACACTTTTGGCAGGAACTACATGATCACACTTAGAGATGGGCACAAACCTCAGTTTGGATGTTTGTGCTAGTTCGTACGTATGGCACCATAAGTGCCACGCATTCCCTTTCTTCCCTGGCCAATTACCCACTCACCAGTCAGAGCTCTCCTCTTCCTCTTTGACTGTTTGATCACTCCCTGGAAGGAGCATGGGACAGGGAAACCCATGCTCCTGCCAGAGACTGGTTGAACAGCCAGAGCGGAAGAGGAGAGGAGCACACACTGGCTAGTGAGTGTGAGATCCAGCTGGGGAGGCAGGGGAAGGCACAAACCTCCAGATCGAGGTTTGTGCCCATTTCCAATCATCCTATTGTCATTTCCAGAATAAAATACATAATATCTGATGGCCAATTTTCTGTTCTACACTAGTTTACTTGTGTTAATTACTATAAACATTCCATTGCCTGTTTTATAACCCTGAGCTTGTTTTGATCCATACTTCTCACATGTAATGCTGTATTGCACATACTGTACTTTTATTTCTGTACACATCAACAACTAGACTTCTTTCAGCTTTACTCCAATTCCTTTATTAGCAACAGCACTATTCATACTAGACCTTTCTCTTCCTCTTTAGACCTAAGAATCTAATCTTCCAGCACTCTCTCATTTCATTTTGTGACAATAACTTTATGTTTGAGTTTAAAAGGCTTTAAGGAAAAAGAGAATAAATTATACCTTGGGAGAAAATATCTTGAACTGGATTGTAGATTGTGAGCCAAGAGGATGATTCCTGAGCAACATGAATATAACAGATTTGACGTATGAACATTTTAATGTTAAAATGGGGGAATTGAGAAAGGAATTAAGGTGTGTTGATTATTGATTGAGTTATGCCTTGATAGAAGCACAGCTTGGTAAAATTTCTATACTGATTATTTACTTTGCTTGTAATTAGTTGTGCTCAGTTTATTTAAAAAGCAGATTTTGGTCAGAAGGCAAAAAAACACAATGTTCCAGAACATATTAAGAACAGATGTCAGCAATAATTAGTACTGTAAAAGAGGAAGTTAAAAATTTTATTGTTTTGCAGTTTTAGAGCTATATAAGAAAGTGTTTTTTGGAATGATGGAGTTTATGCTCAGAGCTATGATTTATGCCCTAAGGTGAAAAACCCAAGGAATTTTTTTATAATAAAGATAACTCTGATAGAATGTATTGAAATGTTTGTTATTAAAGATTTCCCTGATAGCTTTGGATTATCTCACCAGAGATAATCAGAAGTGGGTTTTTTGTTGCCTTCTTCCACACAGTCCTAACAAAAGTTAAGTATATCACTGTCATTATCTATGAAAGATCCTCTGCCAGTGTTACCTTCTGCAAGGTTCACTGCCCACAGTACTGGACTTTGGTAACTTCATGCCTCCATCATCATTTATACCAAGGGTCTCAAACTCGTGGCTCAGGAGCCAATTGCGGCCCATGGGATGATAGTTTGTGGCCCCCGCCTTAATATGAAAGTTTAAGGAGCGGGAGCAGTGGCGGTAGCACCTACTTGGCAAGCACAGGGCTTCCTCCTCGCCTCATAGGGGCTGGGTCCTACCTGCCCCCCCCAAAGCGCCCATGCATCCGGTAACATGCGGGCAAGAGAAGACCACAGGGGAAAATCTTGCTCTCTCCGGGTTGTCGTCCTTGCTTGTTCACTGCACTCATTTTACTTCTGGCTTAAAACATGCAGGTCTGCTGCTGTTGCCTCATCCTTTCTGCACTTCTCCTTCCCCCGCCTGGCGCTCCTCCGCTCCCTGCCCAGACATACCGCGGGAGGGGGTGCTGCCAAGAGTACAGCCTTCTCGCATGAGCTCCCCTCCCCCCTGGTCCCCTGAGCCACAGTGGGCAAGACCACGGCATCTTGCCAGAGTGGGAGTTAAGAAGCCCCAGGAAGCCCAATTAGCTTTTGGGTATGGGGGAGAGATTACTCTGCTGATGTGGCCAGCCTCACAGAAGGGGTGCATGCAGCTGCTAGGGGTGTATGTGTGTGTGAATCTGTGGGCATTTAAACTCTGGCGGTTTACTGCCACCCACTTCACGGAACCTGGGTGCCTTGTCTTCCTGCAGCATCCCTCCATTGTCCCCAACCTGCGTCTAAAGAGGGCACGCTTCTTATGTGGAGAACGGTAACATGCTGTCTTTCTGTCCCCTTTTATTTCCTTGGTTCTGGAAATGATCAAAACCATCACTAACATTTATCTTCTTGTGGTCCATATTTTATTTTATTATTCCAGCATCACATTCAAGTCAGGTTGTTACAGAGTCCAATCATTTTGTGAGAAAACATAGTAACTTGAGATTCTCATGTGAAAATCTGTAGTAAAGCTTCATGAGTTCTGGTTGGTCTCCAAGGAGGGAGGCTGGTAAACTTCATAGAACAGTGTCACACACACCCAGTTCCCCTGTTTCTTTCTCTACAAACCCAGGTTCCCTTTCGGGCATGACATGTACAGTACTTTTCAACCCTTTTCGTTGCCACCAGAGGATCTGATCCTCTCTATATCAAATATGACTATTAGATCAGTGTGGTTCAAAATAACAATGTATATTTATGTGTTTGTATGTAAATCATCTATCAAAAATCAAGGATGGTCTTTTATTATTCATTCAATAAACATTGCTTTGGATACATTTATGTTTGCTTATGTAGATTCACTTTAATCACGGTATTTATATATCCAACTCTTTATTTCTTATCACTTATAACTCTTTCCAATCTTAACCATATATACTTTACAAGACTTGTCCTATACTTATCTCTATCTCTCTATTACTCTTCTCTGTAACACAACCCTGTCCCTGACTGCCTAAACTGTCTCCTCACTAGTTCTAACTCTTGGCTAACTGAAAGCTGGTGCTGGTGATGGTAGTGAAGAAGGAGCCGGAGGAGGTTGTGACCGGCGACAAGGGCTCGCACGCCCCTCCTCCTCCTCAGAACCCAGCTGGGCTAAGGAAACTCCTGGGCGGCTTCCTCATGCCCTTGCTCTGCTTGGCAGAAAACCTGATGTGGCTCAGCCTCACCCAGACTCTGCCTCCAGCGGCCCCCAGGTAAATTGAGTTTGAGACCCCTGATTTATACTAATAATTCTGTTCTGCTGATGTGACCATTAATTCTGGAAGATGATGGGCAGATCTTAATCTCCTGTCTCACTTTTTGAGTATTCTGTCTTCGTTGACCCTGCTGGCAGTTTAAATTCCAATACTGTACTGTAATGCTCTCAGCTTCCCTCAGACACTAAAACTCCTTCAGCACCTCAAGCTGTGGAGTATCACTCACAAAAAATCAGGGGAAGTATTTTTGTTACAATATTGTACTGTATTTCTCTGCTTGTCTACTATTAAAGGTTGTGAGCAGAGGCAAACCGGATTACCATGGCATCTGTGTTTTTGATTTACGAAAAGGCACTGCATTTCTTCGCACCCTTCGGCACCAACGCTTCAGGCCTTCTCTGCTGTCTGGAAACCGTTTACTGTATTTCTTATATTATACGGTCACAGACCCAGCTGTCAGTAAATTGACTTCTAACTTGGAAGTAAGAAAACAATGCTTCTCTCCTCATTGTGAAATTAGTGTGGCAAATAGCGTCGGAAGGGCGAGCAACCACCAGCAAGGAACGGGAACCACCCACGACCTCGCCATCCACGGAGGTCTGCAGCCAACGCTGCTGCAGCGATGGGGGTGGGGGGTGGGGGGACGTGAAAAACAAGGGGGCGGGCGAGGGGGGGGGGGTGCCTCTGTGGTGTGCGCGCGTGCGTATCGTCGACGAAGCGATGGTCGTGGCGTCCCGCCCCCTGAGGCGCCCCGACTCGGGCGCCCGCCGGCCGGCCTCTTCCTCCTCCTCTTCCAGGCCTGGGCGCTGACGTGCTCTTCGCTGGCTAGGACTTAGCGAGACGTGCGGCTGCTCAGCTGGCTGGCCATGGAGGCAGAGGAGCTGCCGCGCGCTGCGCCGCACGAAGAATGCCAGGCAGCGGGGAGGCGGCGGCGGTTGGCGCCCGTCACCAAACCGTTGACCGTCTCCCTTCTGGTGCTGCTCCTGCTGGCGGCGACCATGACCGAGGAGGCCGGGACCGCCGAGGCGGCCCAGGGTGCGGGCGACGAGAAGTGCCATTACTACGCGGGGGGCGAAGTGTATCCGGGCGAGGCATCGAGGGTGCCCGTCAGAGACCACTCGTTGCACCTCAGCAAGACCAAGAGTAGGTGCCCGAGGAGCCCGCCGAGCCCTGAGGGAGAGCGAAGAGGAGGCCAGGGACCGGCAAGGGAGAGACGGGCGGCGCGAAGGGGAGGGGGGGGGCTGCCTGGCGACCTGCCTTGCCTCGTGTTGTCCTTCTGGGCCGAAAAGGAGTATAGCCGTGGCGGCAAGGAGGAGCCTTCCAGCTCGCTTTCCCTTCTCCGCCCTCTTCCTCGCCGCTTGTCCGCGAGGCTGTCACTGCATGAGCATCAGATAAGAATATAAATAGTTGTGACAATACAGCCCCCTCCCACAGCTGTGCTCTTTCCCCGTTAAACGTTTATTCTTGTGTGGGTGGGGGGGGAGAGAGAAACTTCCCAGGAGAATGGGAAGGCTGGAAAGGGAAAGGCCAGCGTCGATGTGTGTGTAAGAACTTTGCTGAGGATGCAAGAAAAGCGCTTGGCCAGAACCAGCCCTGTTTCCAGTGAGGGAAACCGTGGTGGCCTAAACACGTTTATCGTGGCGTCAGCTTTCCTGCACTTGTCCATGGAAGCTTTATTGCCATCAAAAGTGTGTTTGGGCCCGGTTAACGCACGCGGCCTTCACGTGGTGCGTTGAGTTGCTCATGCCGCCTGCGCCAGTGCGAATGAAACCAAAAAGGAAGGGGGTCATAAGGGACTTTTTGAACATTCTCCTTCACTCCTTTAGTAGGTTATAACGAAGGTAGGAGCACCTCATTTCCTGATGTTTATTTTCCTGTGACTAAACACAGATAACAGCTTTCGAATAGGACACGTCAGATGAAGCTGGTTGGTTTAAAAAGCAGAGATAAAAACATCCAAATTAGTTTGTGCAGAAAACTAAAATACTGTACTTAAAAAAACATTTTAAAAGTTTTGTTTGAAGTATTTTGGAAAGGCATTCTTAGTGTACAGTATTAGCAAAAAGATTTAATATGTTGTATTTCTAGTTGTTTCTCTAAGTCTTACAGTATCTTAGAAAGAAACTAGTTCCAAATAGTTCCACATTTTTATAGTGACTACGAACAGAAGCTAATCTTTTATAGGATGATTCAAACATTTGGGCATGATTTTTAATAACCTGGGTTCTGCCTTCCTCATGAAACCTCTTTCTTTAATACACAAAGCATCAGAAAAATTTAATTTGCACTGTAAACTATTATTTGATTACTTTTTTGTTACTACAAAATCCTGAGAAATCAGTTTAAAAGAACAACATACAGTACACTTAAAGGCACTTCACTGAATAAAATTAAAATCTATACACAAGTGTATAGGATTGCACTATTAACTGCTGTTCAAATTGTGCTTTGGCATTTTGTGACAGTGAAACATGTTGCAGAACCTCAGAAGTATAACTATAAGCACTGCAGTGTAATTTCCTTAACCCCTCATTTCTTGGACCCAAGCTAAGCAAAATTTTCACTTAAGTTCTTCCAGGATTTATCCTTTAAAACAAAAACTAACACCAATATCACACTGAGAGAATGTGGAGCTAAAGAGCAATCATGCAAGTGAATATTTTGGGAGTTTTGCATGTACTAGAATGGAAATATATGTTTGCTTTTTACATCAATACATGTGATTAGATTTGATACTTATAACTTTTATGTGTTCTTTCAATTTTTAGTTTCTAAACCAGCTCCTGATTGGGAAGGAACAGCGGTCATCAATGGAGAGTTTAAAGAGCTGAAACTAACAGATTATGATGGGAAATATGTTGTTTTCTTCTTTTATCCTCTTGACTTGTAAGCAAACAGTTGCAGTTGTAATACATACATAAATTCACAATGTTTATTCTTGTTCAGAGGGATTGTAGCAACTGCTATTTATTATTTAGATGAGGGACATCTCATTGAAAGGAAAAGATTTAGTTGTTTGCATGTTGAAAATGTTAAAAGAGGAAAGGAAGTTGTGAAACTCTCACAAATTTTGTCTCAAAAGATTTTCTAATTTTGTGAAGAAATATACATTTGCTTTTGAATATGAGAAAGTATCAGCCTGCTTTTTGTGCTGAAGATCCTATGTTCAGTCCCCTGCAACTCCTGGTATGAGTAGGAAGGTATTCTGCCTGAAACCTTGAGAGCTGCCTGTCTGTGTTGGCAGTACTGGGACCAGATGGACCAAGGGTTTGACTTCATGTAAGGCAGTAGTTTCCTAAATCTTTTAATCCTTCCTGTGGCCGACATCCAGTGTTGTGCTACTCTAGTATCAGCACATGGAATTTCTTTCCTTCTTGCAGTCCTTGAAGTCAAGTGAAAATTGGTACTGGGAGCACATTTTGTGTTCTATGTTGATTGCTGCCTGCTGTTTTAATTCAGCTGGAAATATTTTTGGCTCATTTAAATTTTTTCAGTGTATTTTGGCATTTGTGACATTGTTTTTAGTAGTGCTCATGTTGATGTAACTGCAAAGATAATGGTTGAAATCCTGTAGCTTAGCATATTAAGTTCCACTAGAATGGGCTATTGAATTAGTAGGGATTTGATAAGTCAGTTCCTCTGTAGGTTCATTGATTAAAATGGCCCTACTCTAGTGTGACTTATTACACTGATCTACAGAACCTCAGCCAAGCATTCTTTGTTGCGCGAGGCAATGTACATGCAGAGTTTTAAAAATATGAACATCTTTATCATCAGCATTCCTTCAAATATCAAACCAACAGAGCATGCTGCCTAGGATACTGAGAGCAAAACAGGATCTCCTACAAATAGTTGTCTCTTCACTCAGAGGATGTGCCGTATAAACTATTAATGTGTAAATTAGAAGGAAAAGAAATGGCCAACTGTCCTGACAAGGATACATGCTAAGTGCTTTCTCTCTCTTTCCAGCCCTTTCTTCACCATATAACTGTAGAGCTTGTAACCACCTCTAAACTCAGCTCTTTACTAATAAGGAGCATAGTGGAGAAAGGTTTCAGAAGAGTTGGGGGGAAAGTCTACTTTTAAGATGCTGTAAGTCCAGCTATTTCCTTATCTGCAATTGACATCTCAGATGTTATGTGCAGGTTCAACAGAAATTGAATACATAAATAAGTTCTAGGGTTCCAACAGAAATCAGGGCTTCTTAGCACACTACATACATTATAACCCCACTTTCTGTAATATCTTATGGAGTCTAAAACAGGTGCCACTCTTGACAAACTCTGATCCTAGCTTTCCTATGATTGTCAGGTCCACTTGGCCAATAGCTGTTGTCCTGACTAGAACCTGCTGACTGAAATTATTTAGTTTCATAATCTCATTCATGTGTTCACAATCCATTTATTACTTTGTCTATTATCTGCACTTTGTCTTTTATCTATATCCTCATTTGGTCATGGGTATCTGTGAAAATATATCGGTCGTGAACATGCATTTCTGTGTCTAAGGAAGTCCACAGAAGCTCTCACTGAAGTAAAACTTAGTCTTTCATTTGCTGTAATATTTGGGATTTTTCTCCTTTTTTGGTTTAAGTATTTTTTAAAAAAAATCTTGTTCTAACAATATTGTGAGATGTGTTAACTCCCTTCAGTACGAGAAAGGTGGCATAAAAATGCAATGAGTGAATGAATGATTTTTTGTTTTGTTTTCTTTCACTAACAGGCTAAGCATGCTTAGCCAAGTCCTCATCATATTTGCTTATTCTCTTCTAAATTTAATTCTTTTAAAAAATTAATGTGTCTGGAGAGTTCCCTTGAATATACAAACATAAATAACATGCCACAGATTTATAGAGGCTGCTACATCATATGTGAAGTATTTCAATTTACAGTACTCAGTATAACAAGAGTATAGTTAGACTTCTAAATTGAAAGGATAAAATCGTCTTGCGTTGTACAAAATACAGATCTTGACTATTGTTTATAGATTGTAAGTCTCATTTTGAATCTAGTAGTATGTTCGAAATGTTTATGTTACCATGTAAATATTTATGGTATTTTTACCAGCAGATGCATCATTGGGGTACCATATGTACGGGATCCAGCATTGCAGGAATAGTACAGAAGGACTGCAGCTGCTAGAAATGTTTAAACATAGGTGTTTGTTTATAATAACAAAAATAGTATAATGTAAAAATATTATCATATATTGACTGAAATCCAGTTGTTTAACATACTAGATCACAATTTGAGTAGACCCAGTGAATTAGTAGAATTTACAGAGGACTTGACTCATCAGATCCCCACTGATTCAGTGGGCCTACTGCGGTTGCAACTGTACCATCTTGTTGGAATATACAGTATTGATAATGATTTTAATATTTTATATATGTAATATAGTTTATTAATGTAAGATAAACTAAAGATTGCAGTGGGAAGAATCTTGTTTTTTCATACATTGCAGGAAATACATTTTCAGGAAAGGAGTTTATCTGTACATTAGTGGTAATAACAATGATAAATGTTCTTTTAGTTCTGTGAAATATAGAATTTAATCTTCTGTTTTGTTTTAATTTAGCACATTTGTGTGTCCAACAGAGATAATTGCCTTTAGTGACAGAATTGAAGAATTCAAAGCAATTGGTGCTGAAGTAGTAGCTTGTTCTGTAGATTCACAGTTCACTCATTTAGCATGGTATGTTGTTTTCCCATCTCTTTTTTAAATCCAGGTTATTGATAACAAGCCATTTCATCTTATATGTAGAAATGTGGTTAGAACATCCAGGAACCAATCCAGCTAAATCTGTATGTGTGCTGTTAAAAGCCCACAACTATTCCATAAGTACAGTTTTTTACTCAAAAGGGGCCTATTTACTGGTAAGAAGCTTAATAACAGGAGACTCCCATTTGTAGACTACTGTGTATAAAATACAGTAGATGGAGAGTATATAATGGTCATATGCAGAATTATACAACTTAGCGTATTTCTAGGAATCCTGTTGGGGACTTCTTAATGGCATTCTGGGTATAATGTGGCTGAGAGTTTTGTTTATATGATTTATTGGTCAGTAAAGCATTTATTACTTGTACAACATTTTGGGTTGAGTCAGCAACTAGCCCTCCCTATATTTGTGAGCTTGCAAGTCACATGTGTTTTGTTTTTTGGTGTGTGTGTTTTTTAGGGGGTAACCTCAGGGGTAAAAGCCTGATTTAGACCAGTGGTGAGAATTTTATGGAGCTATCTTGATCTTCAGTTATTTATTTTTTTTAGTATTGATCTGATAAAATTAAATCCACAGTCCTGACAAAATGTGTTTTGAAAAATGTATCGATTATAAATCCAATATGAAGGTGATTATAAATGTAAAAACGAATATGTAAATATATGAAGCAATCTGTGCTGAGGTATTTGGTGTTCTTTATTTCAATAGGATTAATACACCACGAAAACAAGGAGGACTTGGACCAGTGAAGATACCACTACTTTCAGATTTGACACATCAGATTTCAAAGGATTATGGAGTTTATCTAGAGGACCAAGGACATGCTCTTAGGTATATTAACTATTTTGCTTTCCCTTCTCTTTCTCAGTGTTCCATAAGCCATCACTTATCATAGGATCTTGCTTGGAAAAAAATTGTGGGCCCTTCAAGTATGTGTTTATGATGCATAGATTAAAGTTAGACTTAAGGGAGTTAGCAGGCATAAGTCTTTATATATGATGGAGTAAATTATTGTGAGTGGATGGTTTGGGTTTTCTGGGCTGTTTGGCTGTATTGTGAGTGGGTTTGGGCTTTCCTTCCCTTGTTCCAAAGGCTGGATGCTATCGACCACACATGACTGGAGTCATAGGATTTTGTAACAATGGTTTATTTGACTTTAACAGATTTCGAGTGTACAACAACTTCTGCTGGTCCAGTGGGCCCCCCAACTTGGGACAAATCTATCCAACCATAATGCAATTCATTTTGTCCAAAACAAAGTCCTCAGTGTGGGTAAACTCCAAATCTTTCCCAATCGGTGAGCTTCCTTAGAGGTTTGTTGTGGCTGGGACAGATAGTCCCACTGCAGGGGTATCAAGCCTATTCTTCTTCTCATGGCAGGAGAGAAATCACCTCCGGGTGCCCCTCCTTCTTCCAGGGAGCTTTCTTTCTTGGGTACATGTATACTGTGCATTCCAACGGTTCAATTCCATCTATTTGTACTTACATCCCTTCACTCTAGATTCCCCCTTACCTCTCTGACTTACATGTGGGTATTGGCTGATAACCCTGCCTACGTTCTACCTCTTTCAGAGGAAGTTTCACGTGCACCTTTTCATGCAACCACGGATCTTCTAGCTCTAACCATCTCCATCCAATTCAGATATTCTGCTCCATTTCAGCTTCTTTTTTTCTCCTGCTCTTTCCCCTTCATCTCCTCTCCCCAGAACTCTACCTCTCCTCCTCAGTAGTCAAAAGCTCTCTGTGATTGGTGGAACTCCTTCCACTATCACCTTCCTGTTCTGACTCCCTTCAAATATACTGCCTTCAATATCCTGCATCTTCATTTGGGACACAGTGGGTAAAAGGGTATAGACTGTCTTGAATCCTTCAGCCTTAGAGGGGCTCACTTGCAGGGGATGGCTCATTTCTGGGTCTAGCACCTCTCTCCTGCTATTCCTCACAGCTATTTTTCTTGTTCATTTTATTTTTATTTTTTCCCATATACTTCCAGAGGCCTCTTCATTATTGATGACAAGAAAATTCTGAGACAGATAACAATGAATGATCTTCCTGTCGGTAGATCTGTAGATGAAACTCTTCGTCTAGTACAAGCATTCCAGTATACTGACAAACATGGAGAAGGTATATTTGCTTTTAAATAATGTAATAAGTGAGCATTATTTAATGAGTAGTTGTTGAAATTGTGGAATCTTGTTCATTGTCATTTTCGCTTTAGAATTTCACAGTTCGAAGATCTGATAGCCCTGAAGTTGTAGTGTCTTCTCCCCCTGTATTCAATTTAGAAATTGCCATAAAATTGAAAGTATTACAGTGAATTCTTTTCTTCATCCTTTGTACAGATGTACATTCCTATCTGAAAGCAGAGGCTAATAACAAATAAGACAAAATAATTTCCTAGCTTTATAGCAGCTAGAATTGAGCCATAAAACTCTGCCATTATAAGTAGGGAAGCATTTTCACTGGTAACAAACACACATTGCCTTATGGTGAACTGTAATGAGCTAACCATCTGTATCTCCCTTAAAATTATTTAGAATACCAGCTCAGCAGCTTGCATGTCTAATACTTAATTTATTATAAAGTGTGCAATTCAGCCTTATTGTGGTCTCATAACTTTATATTAGTAAAGGATCTAATTCTATACTGCTTATGTTGCTGGGTATGTTACTTTCGATTCTTTTAACTAAAAACAAATAGTTTGTAAAGTCTTATGGATACAAATTTTCAAATGAAATTTAAATCTGTATTTCGATACTGTTTGCTGTTTTCAATTCAGAACATATTCTGATTTTTCTCATCTTTGTAATAGATTTTTGGCTACAGTAAGGGTAATCTGCAGAACAAGAATAGGAAGGCAGTTTTTTAGACTGTCAGATTAACACTGCAGAACAAGAATAGGAAGGCAGTTTTTAGACTGTCAGATTAACATCTCATTTCATTGCCTTTTCAGTTTGCCCAGCTGGCTGGAAACCAGGCAGTGAAACAGTAAGTTAGTGTTTATATATGTTATCACATGAAAAATAGCAATTATTGTCCTAATTTGAAAAAGAGGGTTGTCTTATACAATGTAGAGAATATCACTACAAGCCAGAAGCATCATGCAAGCAATTCAGATGCCAATTGCACCCAGTTATGTGCCCTGTAAAAAAAAAAACATTAAACTTTGCTATGGGACTTTGTGACATTTCATGATTTACATTTTGCTAATCACCTGATTACCCTGTAGGAAATAGTTGCATTTAAGGTTTGGGTTGTCCCTGAACTGATAATTGTCAACATCTGGTGCCCTGTAGTTTTTCTGAGATATTCATTGAGATATTCATGAAAGACAAAGCACTTAACTTCCTCTACTTCTTCCAAATACTTTAACCTTAGGAAGTTAGTGTGTGGTTTTAATTATTCACTCAGGAGAGACATCTATTAATAGTTCTATCCATGTTGTTCTAATTTCTATTTCTCCTATTTCTAGCATGTGTTAAACTCTCGGTTACTAGAAATCTTAAGGGGGGAACTGAAGGGGGAAAGAGAAACTAATTTTAAAAAGAAGCTTGTGTGTTACATTGCTGTGTGAACAGTTAGCATAATTGTTTCATACTAGATTTGATATTCTTCCTTAAACTACAGTAGTTCAGTAGGGAATATTTTGTTGGGTTAATTTATAAACTCAACTCTAAAATTGCATTTCCTGGATTTTGTTAGTTATATAGGCTGTGAGTTGGAATTGTTGTTGTTGTTGTTGTTGTTATCATGGTGTAAAATCTATGATATATCTAAACAGTGCATTCAGGTGTGTGCCTGTGTCTATATATACAACTACAGTGGTGCCCCGCTTAACGATTACCCCGCTCCACAACGAAATTGCTTCACGACAATGTTTTTGCGATTGCTATTGCAATCACAAAACAATGTTTCAAAGGGCTTTTTTTGCTTGATGATGATCGGTTCCCTGCTTCAGGAACCAATTTTTTGCTTAACGACAATCAGAAAACAGCTGATCGTGGTTTCAAAATGGCCACCCGCTATTCAAAATGGCTCCCTGCTGTGTTAAGGACGGATTCCTCACATTACAGGCATCGGAAAATGGCCGCCCTATGGAGGATCTTCGTTGGACGGCAAGGTATTTCGCCCCATTGGAACGCATTGAGCGGTTTTCAGTGCATTTCAGTGGGCTTTTTACTTTCGCTTGACGATGATTTCGCTTAACAGGGATTTTGCTGGAACGGATTATCGTCAAGCGAGGCACCACTGTATACACATACATGCTGAAGTATATGTGGAGCCATGCTTTCAAGCATATGTTTAGATCAAACCTGAAGATGCTATTTGGTGGTGCTGGTTGAGAATAACAGTTAAATACAGATGTTGAGATAAAACATTTGGGGGCAGATGTGAATCAGTAAAAGCCTTATTGCACTTTGTTTAGTAGATTTTTTAATGGCTCTTTCGAATATGATGGTGATTTTTCTCTTACACAGATCATTCCAGATCCTGCAGGAAAATTGAAGTATTTTGGTAAAGTGAACTGACTCGTTTCTTCTAGATACACAACTGACAATTGAGAAGTTACCAATAAAGTTGCATTGCTTTTGATAATTGTTTATTAGTTTGTGCTGGAAGTTTGTTGGAATATTGTTTTGGAATATATGTGATGACTGCTCCCTCTATCTAAGCAGAATGACAGCACTAAAGAGGTGAAGCACTACCAAACTATTAGCATCCAGAATTACTTCTGAGTTAGATACCTAACCTTCTCTTAGTCTCCCAAATGGCTGAATCCACAAAGCATAACCTGACTATATATTTACTTATTTTAAAATAATCAAAACTGAATTTAATGGGATTTAATAAGCATACAGATTACTGTAGTTGTAGAACAACCATAGGTTCTGAATCCATCGTACTATTGCGGGCAGAATACTTCAGGAATAATAACAAACAGCCGTTCTCAAAGAATTCACTCCAGCGGTTCCAGTGAGCACATGCCGGTTGTACATTTGAAAGATTTCAATCCAAGTGCCCTGCATTTTTCACACTCCCATGCTTTCCATATGTATTTGCCACTAGAGTATGTTATTACTCTCACAAAACTTGACATTTTCCCTTTAGCATACTGTAATCAGGTTCTCCTGAAACCGGAGGCGGTCCCCTTGTTTGGGCGGGAATAAGAGTCAGAGGCGATTTTAAAAATTGAACAAATCCTTTTTATTCTCAGTAACCGCAACATTGACTAACTCAAATAGATCAAACATGCTGAACTCTGGTAAAATCTTGTATATCGCTCCTCACATTGGGGCCGAACCAAAGTGCTCCTGATCTGTCATCGCCCGCAAGGGCGTGCTCCGGACCACGCAAACCATTCCACAGCAAGGGTGTCTTGCCCAGTCCCCTTCGCGTGGTGGCAGGTTGAAACAGGGACTGGAGCAAATCACCTTCCTCCCCCAACACTGGTTGCGGGGGTAGACCACTATTGGCCATTCTAGTGGTTTGATCGTCATTTTGCCCGGCTTGGCTATGGGAGGGTCTGGGAGTAAACCTCCACCTGTATTTAGGTTAGGGAACTCCTTTATCAACCTCCTGGCCGCCTCTGTATCTCCCTCATCTCCCGTCTGTAAAGCTTTATCTCTCACGCATTTCATGGTCCCGTCTGTTACGATTCTGAATTCCTGCGCCTCTTCTTCCTCTTTTATAATCTCCTCCCATACAATGAGGTCTAGCTCCTCCCCTTTGGCATCTGCTAAGCACACTTCTAGAGTTTTCCTCTCCTCCCTCTCATATCTTTCTATCTCAACCAAAACTCCCTCCACGCATCCCTGGTTTTCCTTTGAGGTCTGCTTCGGTGAGGACGGCACACTAACGTCTCCTCCTTCACACATACACTTTCAAATTTAATTAGGATGTACTGAGCCTTGTATACTCAAATGCAGCGATTCAGACTTTTAGTATTTTGTCAACATGTTTTTCAAAAACCATGAGAGGTAATCAACAGAAATAAGGATTTTGAAGCTGGTATAAGCAACATACTAGTCAGTTTGGGTTGACCATTTAGTGTCCTAGTTGTTTGAGTTCTTGCAAAGAAGGCAATGTGAAATATGAAATTTCAACTCGGTACACACAGTAGTAGTGTCTGAATCTGTATCCAGAGGAACAATACTATCCAATAGTCACTGAAGTTATGTGAAATTCCTCTTATCTGCACTGAAGGCATGACTGAATTTCAAACTACTACTCAGAGGGAATTACCTTCTCATTATTTAAAAGTGCTACAGCTGATAAACTAAAATAATGATGAAATACTCCAGCTAATAAACTGAAATGTAGCCAGCACAGAGAAATAGAAGCATTCACAGAAAGAGTAACAGATGCTAAAAAGGCAGCTTCTTGTTATTTTAAGCAATTTGTTAGGGAAGATGGTTCCTTCTTAAGAAAAATCACTAATTTTGGCCCAGGAAGGAACTTGCATTGTGCATTTAATGTTCCATGCTATCTCAGAGAGAAAATAATGGACTAATAGTAGCAGTTGATCGGTCCTGATGAGCTGACCTGCGTTTTCACCACTGTTGTATCAATTGCATTCTAAAGGAAGCTTTCAACAAAGTAGAAGTACTATTTTGGGGCTACCTAATAAAAGTAGTGTTTTTCCTGTAGTTGAGGTTCTACTTCCTACTTGCTTCTGATAGGCCAGAACTGAATAACCAATCAGAATTCTCCAAGGGTCCTTCAAGAGGAGGGAATAACCCTGAGGAGACAGTTCTTTGGTTCCTGCCTCACATTTCATTGATGCACTTCTTGTCATTCATGTCCCAACTAGCCATTTTCGTCTCTGGTAGAATAATGTTTTTTTAGAAAGTTATTTATGCTAGACTGGTCCATAATATTTGGAGAATTGATTGATTAACCCAGAAGATTGGACTGTGATCTACCTGTTTGCAGTAGAGTCAAAAACTTTTCCCTTCTTGCTCAATATGTGAATCATTTATGGCAGTGGTGGTGAACCTTTTTGGGCTCACCTGCCCAAACTGGGGAAAAAAAACCCCAGTGGGCGGCATGCCGTGCCAGCAGCGGAACCGAAGTGCAGCAAAAGGGAATCCCAGGCACTGATGTGCCTTGAGACCCCACTAGGATCCAGCGCCAGCTGCTCTGGATCCACTTGTTGAAGTGCCAGCACCACAGCTGCAGCCGCCTTCTCAGGTTTGGCTGTGCAGGGGCGGGGGGAGTAGCGATCCGGCGACTTACAGCTCATGTGCCTGCAGAAAGGGCTCTGCGTGCCAGTTTGAGACCGGGGGCAAGGGTCGTGGTCTTCCCACTGGAGTGCTGTCCCTTCCCCACACTGGAGAGAGAAATACAGACTCTGCCCACTTCACCTCTCAGGAAAACAGAATAGCGGGGGAACAGATACCCGGGACTTGGAGAGGGAGATACAAGGGTTAACAGTTGAGGAAACTCAAGAGAGATAGGCGGGAACAGAAGGAAGAAAGAGGGTGGAGATAGAGGCGGGAACAGCAGAGATAAAAAGCGCAGTCAGTTGCCTCCAGGCTGGGAATGGGTCTGGATGGAGGATCCATGGACTGGAGTTTGGGAAAGACTAAGTACCGAAGAAGGATTATAGGAAGAGAAGGGAGATACCCCCAAGACCCTCCTACTGGGGTGAAGCAGAGGCTAGGGAGTGGCGGAGGAGACTAAGGAAAGAGGAAAGAACAGATAGAATGGAGAGTGAGCGACATGGAGAGACTACAGGGAGGACCCTGGGCGACCATTACAACAGCCAGAGATGTCGGGTAGACCGAACCCCAAGATGATGGCACCATACCCTTACACAAGTCTCATGATTTATTCAAACAAAAAAGGGAACCACAGAGTGAACCCTCACAGCCAGTTGTGGCACGTGTGCCATAGGTTCGCCATCGCTGCTTTATGGTAAGTTCAATAATCTTACAGGTACTAAAAGAACCGCTCATGTGCCTCATATAAAATCTGGAAACAGTCAAGTCCCAAACTGTCTAAACGTCTTAAGGAACAAAACTAGGGTCTTGCATTCTTCCAGTTGTAGAAACATCAGGGGAATTGCAATAGACTTCCTGAAGAAAGAATTTTGTCCCTAAATATGTTGGGCTTACTAAATGTATGTCTGCAGCCCTTTGAGACTTGCCTCCTGAAATAAGTCTAGAACAATTCACTTGGAAGCTCATCTAATCAGAGACTGATAGATGAGCTGTTTTTCAAGAAAGCTTGTCCAACAATAATTTTCCCAATTAAAAAATAAACTAGAGAAGCTTCCAGGCTTTACAGGAACACCGACTGAAAACCTGCCTTAACCAAATAATAATCCATGTTGACAAAACAGCATGAGATAGACACCAACTAACCTAGAAGATAATCTAACTGGTGTGACTTAGAAGAACATATACATTATTTAATTAAGTATATATAATTTTTATTATAAGCATACACATTTAATAAAACATTTCAGCATAAGAGAGTATGAAAAGCTGGATTCATTATATGTTCTTGATCAACCCAAGTAAGTTACAAGCAGCAACTTGGCACAGTAGTAACTGGCTATTGTGCCTTGTGAAAATTACCTTCTAACTCTGCATAGTTTATGCTTTGTCCTGAGCAGCAGTCAGCATTATAATTGCAGTTCTATTATATGATGACTGTACCACAGGGAGATTTGCATCAATGGGTGGCATCAGATTTGTCAACACTTCTCTTCCTCCAAGAGTTGTCCTTTCCTATCAGCATGACCAGTCTATGGATGGTCCATACTGACAGCCAAGGTCTTAATGTGGCTTCCACAACATGCAACTGATTAACCCTTTCCAGGTAATGTATAAGAATTTACATAGTTTCATCAAGTCACTGCTCTTAATTTCACTGCCTCTGAATCATGAAGAATATAAATCCAAAGGAACACGATTTCTTGTAAAACTTACTTCCTCTGGCCCAGACTTACAAGGTAAGTTTCTTTACCTTCTCAATGATTTCTGATAGTCATTATATTGTATTAACTACTCTGTAAAAAAAGGAAATACACAAAATGCAAGAAATCAAAGTCAAGCTAACATAATTTATATAAATAGCAATAATATGTAGATACAAAATTACATGCTTTGGAGTATTTCTGAATTTGAGATAGTCTTCTGAAATCATAATACTAATTTTGAGCTCATGTCCCGTCACACCTCTCTCTGATAAACAGTGTGCCAGAAGCTTCCATGGCAATCTCTTTCCAAAGGTAGCATTTTGGTATGGTGATATCACATGTTTTCTTTCATAGTAGAATCAAAATGCCGCTTCCCATCTAAATATAACATGGATTCTAAAACAAAACAAAGGGAGGGAGGAAAAATGCTTAGGACAATCTATAGCAACACTTCTTAAAGTTTCTTTAGATGACATACTGTATATATTCGAGTATAAGCCAACTCGAATATAAGCCGAGGCACCCGATTTTACCACAAAATGGGAAAACTTACTGACTCGAGTATAAGTCGAGGGTGGAAAATGCAGTAGCTACTGGTAAATTTCAAAAATAAAAATAGATACCAATAAAATTACATTGAGGCATCAGTAGGTTTAATGTTTTTGAAGATACTGCTCTTCTGAGCTGCGAGACACACTTCACTGCCTATGGAGAGAGGACTCATACCAGATGCTGCACTTATCTACTGCTGTGTAACAGGATGGAGGAAGAAGGTGGGAGGAGGAAGGTGGGTACACAGATTATGCAGGAGGAGGAGGATGGGAGTGTCCGGGAAGTGGAAATGCAGTCTACTTAACCCGGGTGATCGGACCACTCACAGAGGCTGCAAGCAGCCGTAGATGAGCGGGGGAGTCCGGAGAACACCCACACCGCAGGGGAGAACATGCAATTTTGACACTGACTTGAGTATAAGCTGAAGGGGTGCTTTTTCAGCAAAAAAAATTGTGCTGAAAAACTAGGCTTATACTTAAGCAAAAGCCCAACTCACTTCATTTTTCACACTTGTTCTTGGCATACTAAAGGATCCTTGGGGCTTTTTTTAACCTGCCTGTTTCTAAAGTAAAGATGAAAGCAAGAATATTCTCCCATCATAACAGAGTACCTGAGAAGTTCATATGAAAGGCAGTGAAAAAATTAAACATACTGAAAACGGGCATGAACGAAATAAAGTAGAATGTAAACTGCATGAACAATGAAAACAGAATACACAAATTACAATAGTACAGGTCAGATGAATGAACTCGGGTAGAAACTGGGATATGAAGAGCAGTATAAGGAGTGAAACAGCAAAAGTGAACTTTTCTTGGACCCAGTGACCTTACAAAACAGTGATTCTTAAACCATCATCAGAGTTACTGTGAGATGTGCATCCAAACTCCTACTCACCTCCATATGTCCTGGGGACAATATTTGGTATCTCCTTTTCTATCATAAATGTGAAATGGAAGACATTGGTTGTCTGGTGGATTCTGGAATCTGGATCATAAACTCCACTATACACTCGAACTTGGATGTAATTTTTTTCAGTGTAGCATACCTTGAAAATATTAAGATCATAAAGTTACTGGATTTGCAAGTAACTGTTGAACAAGGTAGATGTAACATTGTACACTACTTGAACAAGGAGGTTTCTGACTTGGGATTGGTGGCTGTCAGAGTAACCTAATTTATTCATAGAAACATGGTCTATAAAGATCATCAGATGAAATAAACATTACCTGGGAAGAAAGCAGCAATAAGGATCCAATCTCAACTGGTTTTTGAAACATTATATCATCTACAGCCACAACATACGGCCTGAAGTTTCTGGCATAAGAGGAAAATAAGTTTTTAGAAGGCAAATATGGTAAATTTTAGGTTCTGAAGTACATGTAACAGAAACTAGCAAACTGGGAATTTGTGATAGATTATATCCTGTGAGGCCAACCAGAAATTAACAAAGAGAGGCTCAGTGAGAACTGTTTCAAGAACTCGTTTGTCCAAAATATTAAAATCATGCCATCTTATACCATTCAACTGATCCTGGTGAATCCCACCGAAGCTCCTGCTCAATCTCCGATTCCTACATTTTATCATGCAGTACCATACATATAACAGGACTAACATCCCCGTGCATAGATTTGGGAAGGAAGCTTGGATGAATATTTGAGCAGGACTAGATCTTTAAGGCTGGCACAAGGCCACGTGGACTCCCAGAAATCCATTTCTTGCACTCTGGTTAGCCCTCTTCTCTCTTGCAATTCTCTTAAGCTAGAAGTGTTTGTCAGAGTCCAGACAGAGGTGACGGGAAGATTTTGAGAGCTTTAGTCCCTAAAGTAAAATTGTAAAACAAGCTCTGGTCTTTGTCTCTCACTTCTCTACTGCATGGTTTTCTCCCAAGAGATATAGCCCATACACATCACCAGAGGGAAACCCTCAACACCTGATGACCAGAGCTTATTTCTCACAATAAAATTACTTGTGTGATCCCTTGCTGCCACCGTCTTGAATGTGGCAATACAAAGTTCACTGTGAACAGCAATATCTATACATGGTTGTTGTGGGTTTTTCGGGCTCTTTGGCCGTGTTCTGAAGGTTGTTCTTCCTAATGTTTTGCCAGTCTCTGTGGCCGGCATCTTCAGAGGACAGTACACAACAACCATTAGATCCCGACCGTGAAAGCCTTTGTAAAAACAATATCTATACAACTCACCAGTTTGGTGCAGTGGGTAAAAAAACAGATTAGGATTCAGGAAGCCTGGGTTCAAATCCCCACTCAGCCATGGAAACTCACTGAGGGTGTGCAACTGGTAAAACCACTGCTTAAATATCTCACCTCAAAAACCTTGTTTGGGTTGCTTGATGGAACATAAGAACAAATAGAACTCAAAAACCCTATTCAGAATGAGTTTGAAATAAATTTGTTGAGATGGCCAACAGTACTGGTTTACCTTTTCACAGGGTAACAGTTGATGGTTTGTGATAATAATTACTGCAGAATGATCTGTCATTAGGCATGCAGTTTGCAAATCATATATTAAGATTCATATCCACAATTTAATACAACATTTAGTTTGTGATACTGTAGTGGGCCAATATGAAGCAGATTTTGCTGTATGAAAGAATCGCACCAGAAATCACCTGGTAACTGTAATGTGGTAAAGTCCTAAGACTATGTGTTTTAAGAAAGTAAGAAGAGTAGCAATTACTAACATCTTTATTGTTCAGCATAGTGGATGTTTATTATGCCACACATTGTAGCTTTTCACTTACCACAAAGGGCATACTCTACCTACCTGTTCCTATAAAATTAACCCAGATACCTTTGCACACATGGAACCTGTAAAATAAATTAGTTTTTGTACTTCCTTTATATAGTCTTCACCTTGTTCACACTGAATAGGGCACTGCTAAGAAAAGAGGGAACAGGTGTGTGTGTGTGATAGATGAGCCCTTATCTCCTACTTCTGAAATGTATTGGGTGACAGACATATTCTCAACTTACCCATAACTGTAGGCACAAGCCCATCCAAGTTCATATGCCTTTCTCATGAGGAATCCCCCAAAGATTCTGTTGAAAATGTTACGTTCCTATACAGTATTGAGATATCAACATAGACACCAAATGGTGCAGTTACATAAACCGTTACCTTAAACTGCATCTTTATTCCCAATTTTCCATCAAGCTGTTAAGAAAAATTGAAGCATTTTATCCTATTACAATATATCACAACAAAAGACACAGAACTCATAGCTGCAGGGTGAGTTGTAACTGGAAAATGAGAGCCAGACCCCTTTATGGGCATAATCCACACTAACACCAGGCTAAGAAACAAAAATAATGACCTAAATATGTCAGATAGCCCAGCATCTCAGCCATCACCCTTACAGCAGCCAGCAACCAGGGATGCATAACTATTATGCTTGGTAGGTCATCTTCAGCTAGAAACAGCTTTAGAATACAGATTTTTTAAAAACATGTTAAATGTTAGCATTAAAGTAAAGCAAAACTAAAGCAAAATGTGCTGTTTATATACCACCTCCCAGTGCTTAAAGTACTCTCTGGGTGGTCTGCAATTCAGTTATGTAAACCACACATTGCTGTCACATCCCCCCTCCCGCACATGAGCTGGGTACTCAGTTTATTGACCTCGGAAGGATGGAAGGCTGAGTCAACCTCAAGCTGGCTACCTGGGACCAGAATCAAACTCAGGCCATGAGCAGAGTCTTCATTGCAGTACTGCAGTTTAACCACTGTGCCACAAGGCTCTTAGAAAGTATTATAATTAGAGGGTAAACTGCCCTCTGTTGGCGGCTCAAACTTACTGTGCAACTATGAACATTTACTCAAGACTATTCACTTAACATCAACAGAAGTCAAAACGTTTAATCCCAATGTCTCCATTACTGAAAGTGCCCCTAAAAATGTAAATTTGGATCAGGAGCCAAACATCTATAAATCGGAGACAACCAGATTCTAGCCCACTCATTTGGCAATGCTAACTTACCTGTGGGTGACAGATCTCCAATCCCTTTAAAGTCGTATCCTGCATCCACACTGAGTTGGGTGGCAACACACGACTTCGAAAACTCATTGTCCTATGAAAAGAAAGAAGGATAAAAATGTCAAAGTTTCCATCTTATCCCAAAACAGTATTAAGAATGAAGTTCTTACCTGATCTCTAGACCAGTGGTTCCCAAGCTTGAGTCCTCAGATATTCTTGTGCTACAACTCCCAGAAATCCTGGCCAGCACAGCTAGCGGTGAAGGCTTCTGGGGACCCAAGGCTGGGAAACTTGAGAGAGCAGGCCTTGGGACACACAGACCTCCTCATGAGAACAGAGTTAACACACCAGAGTTCTTCCAGAAGATATGGTATGGGCAGCTTTAGGTAACGTTAAAAAAGTTTAGAGGGGGGAAAAGGTCTCTCAGTGGCTTCAAGCCATCATGGTGATATGGCACCTCAGGATTCAGAGACCGGGGGGGGGGCTCTCAATTACCTGACCGACGAGAACAGCAACAGGAAGGTGCTATTGATCTGCATATCCTGCTTGTGGATTTCTGTGGTCAGTCACTGTGGGAAACTGGATAGTGGACTAGAAGATAGGCATTTGGTCTGATACAGCTTTCATACGTGGGGCATGCAAAAAAAGGTACAGAATACTCCTGTACAGCAGGGGTCCCCAACCCCCGGTCCACAGCACGGTGCCGGTCTGTGGACTTCCTGGAACTGGGCTGCGGAGACGGATCTCCACCCCCAACCCCACCCCCAGACATGGTGGGCAAGTTGCACTCAGGGAGGGGCATGTCACATTCACAGAGGGACTTGTTGCACTCACGCACATGCACACAGGCACGACACGCCCCTCCACAAGAGTGACATGCCCCTCCGTAAGTATGACATGTCCACCCGCAAGTGTGGGGGTGCCCCCACGCATGGAGCCCGACGCCCCCAGCCAGTCCATGGTCCCAAAAAGGTCCCGGTCCACAGCACGGTGCCGGTCTGTGAGCTTCCTGTACAGGACAGCAGCCAACCATGTCTTCTTCTTCTAAGGGATTCCATTCTATTCCCCCTCCCACGCATGGTCCCAAAAAGGTTAGGGACCACTGCTGTACAGGACTTCTTCTTCTAAGCGATTCCATTCTACTCCCCCTCCCACAGTTTGCTTGCCATCCTGTTACTCTTTTATAACCAGTGGGCACATTCATTCCTCACTCAGCTGGTTTCAGGAGTTCTGACCATTTAATTTTGTAAGTGGCTTCCCTGAAATCTATGTACATATGGCACCATTTTGTATACTGTATATGTGTTTGAGCATACCTGAACGCTCAGTGAATTCTTTCCTACTAGTATACAGGGAAGCTAAACTATACTACTTCTTTTGATGTTGCTGTTTCCTATTACGTTGGCATAAACAAACATCTTAGAGTTTACAACGGGCACATATAGGTAAAATCAACCTTTGGTAATAATAGCAAATGAGAGAGAAAAATGATCAATTTTTACAGTTCAGAACATTCAAATCAGCCATCCCAGTTCTAGGCAGTAACTTTAAAGACTAGTCAATTGACCACTTACCTTGTGTCCAATGTATTAAGAAATAAGTTGTGGACAATGTTTCTTTCTTCTGCTGTAGGAGCCATTTTAAGCAAGGAGGCTTTACTAGAATCAATTCTTCTGATCTTGTTCACTAATCAATTAAAGAAAAAAAAGCTCATACTATAAAACAAGTAAAACAAGTGAAATTATATCCAGCAGCATTATCTACTCACCTCTTTTACTTCAAAAAAATAATGACAAATTAGAATCTCTAATTAACCTGTATATGAAACTATAAGCACACTTTGAACTATGTTAGTGATTTGGGATACACAGCATACCACCCCAAAAAGAAAATACTCCATTTATTTTTCAAAATAGCTTCTCAGGTGGTAGGTGATGATGTGATTCCCCAAGCAGGAGACAGCCTTTTCCTAAATGTTGGAATGCATAGATGATGTTACTCTGTTACTTCCCTTCTCTCACAAAACAATACTTTTTCTTATTTTCAAGGAAGATCACAACCAGGAATCCTTCCACCATCAAAATGAGTGCATTACTTACTTTCTCCTTCCTTGAATATTTTTTCCTCCTCTGGAGTTTCAAGAATCAATGGATTCACAAATGCTGGCCTATGGATACATTAAAAAAATTCAGAAAACTAAGTTTTACAGAGGAAAAAAATGAAAGCGCAGACCTTCACTTTTGAATGAGTCCCACATTGTTAATCCATTAGCAGAAGCATTTGTCACCCCCATAATATGAATTACTCACCGAAAGTGAACTGAAGAGGAAAAGTAATGCTAAACATTTCATACAAAGCATTCTATTATCCAGTCAAAATTACTATTTAACATGAAATCTAAAGGGTGCTTCCATGAATACCTTTTCAGCAGCATATTGTGAAAACTCTTGTAAAGAGCATGCTTCAAAACAAGGGGAGACCCACATCAATGTAACAGGAATGTCCAAAAGGGAATCTGAGATGCACAGGCTACAGAGAAGGTCAGGAGCTTGTCAATCTTTATGCCACTTATCTGATCATTCCTAATTTTAAATGACCTGCAGCTCCTGTAATTGTCTGTACATTTCCCATGAAGTGGCCTCAGACTTTTCAGCAAAGGGAAAGAACCTTAAAGGGAGAAAGGATGCTGAAATTTTCTGTTTTGCTTTATAGGATCAAAAAGGTCATGCCCTCCATTCTTATCTATCTATCCACATATTATAAAAGATATGCTAGAGAATCTCCATCATGGAAGGGTTGCTAGAGAGAGGAGTTCCCTATAGACATGCACACTTAATAATCCTCAAATTAATGACTCATGAAAACTAACTTCGGCAATTTACCTGGCATGCTTTAAAATCTCCCTTTTAGGCTTTTTATGCTTTGGGGAAAGAAAGGAGAACAGTAGTAGATAACAGAAATATTTTTGAGAGAATGCAAAACAAAAATTAAAAAGTGAACATCCTTCTATGTCCCCACTAAAAACTGTTTAATTACTCAGCAATAATGTTTGCCTTTGAGAAAGCTGACACTTAAGAGTTTAAATTTAGTCTCACTCACTGTCTGTTATGGAGACCATTTAAATATAATTACTGCATTAAATTTCCAATCAAGTTATAGCCCATTTTCTGGGTGAAGTATTAACTATGTTTACTTTTCCAAACAAGGGCAGAGTAACATTCACATAACATGAATTATGGGATGTTTCAGCAAGACTGAAAGAGACTGAGTACCTTGTATAACTGTTCTTCTCATCTAGATTGTACAAAGTAATTTAAAAAAACATTTTTAGTAGTTCATGTAGTTTACCAAAACTTTCCTCCTGTCTCCCTAACTGTTTAAAAATATAGTCCCTCCCAGTCTTCCCACACCAGAAACTTGTCATTCTGCAATTACTTCCAATGGCCTGCTAGAATCATTACCTTTTGTTTTCTGGATCACGGGCCACCATGACAAAAGTTGCATCTAACACAGGGGCATAGATATCATCATGTTGCTGAAGAAAACAAAAAGAGGAAAATCAAGTTTCATAAGCCATTCTGCTGATAAAGCAATTACATTTTAAGCAGTATCCTGTTCATTGCATGGCAGAATGTGACACTTCACCTGTGAAGCTCCCATGATCTCCAACTTGCCATTGCAGAAGCCAGATATCAACCCTATTGTTTCTGATGGGGCTTTTGCTTGCACAAGGAGTCACTGGGTACCTTGCGTAAGATCTGAGAAAGCCTCATCATTCTTGCAGTGTTTGCATCAAGTGGATTTTTCATATCAGATGTTCCTGCTGGATTGACTACACTGGCATCCTGACTTCACAATGTCTGAAGGCCAAACTGGATGGTATAGTTAACAGGTCATTAGAAACAAAACTTTCGAGAAGAAAAGGCTATCACAAGCTTGCCTCGATCTGCATTTGGCAAATTAGTCTGCTTTAGTTTTTTAAATGGTTACCTGGGGGATAATATGGCTTTGCACACTTGTGTCTAAGTCACATAGCACTAAAAGATTTGTATGCCTGAAGACAGGTCACTACATAAGGAAATAAGTATCTGCATGTGTTATGTGACCCTGAATGATTAGGCCATCCTATCCCTGATAATGACAACTGTCTGAGTGGAGTGCATGAAAGACCTAGGGCCACAGTTCGACACCACTGGATTAAGCCATCCTATCCCTGATAATAACAACTGTCTGAGTGGAGTGCATGAAAGACCTATATTGGGTATTTTCCAAGCAATTCATAGATTGGTCAGTTACACTGAACAGTAATGAGAAATGAACAATTTTTAGGTAACAACGTCATCACATTCTGCCTTGCTTCTTCCTCTCTAAGAAAGAGAAAATAGCCAGTGTAACTAGAGAGGTAGACAATATGAAATGCAATCTCACAATAGAACAATACAGACATCAAATAAAAAAACTTGTAAACTGTCAGTTAAATATTTAACAAGAACACCAATCCAGTTAACAAACATTGTACTTCCACATCTAACACTGAAAGGGGTAATAAAATAAGCCATATTTTAGCCAAAATAAATACATGGCCCAGAGCCAATGCACACTAAAACGAACACACACATTCTAGAGACAGTATAGTCCTTGTGTGAGTGCAAGTCACCCTGAAGCGATGAGAAGCAAAGGATGCATATAATAGCTACTAATATCCTGTCCTAGAAGGTATTCTACTTCTTTTGTAGCTTCTCTCCCAATAAAACGTAGTTGAACACTCTTCATAATATGAATACCATTCCACTATAAGTTGCATCATATAGCTAATCAAATCTGAGTTCCTTATTAACAATGAACAGTTTGCATCTGCTGACCTGAAGCATGTGCATCTTCACTTCCATTGAGGTCTTTCCTACCCATGAAACATTCCCAGTGAATTTGATATCACGATCTGGATAAATATGCTGCTTCCATAAACCTAAAAAGTATTGAAAGAAAAGCAGAGAACAGACATAGAAGGTCAGTAACTATGGTAGAAACAGATGGCAGGCATTTTTATTCCAAGGAAGATTATTTTCACAAGCTATAAAGTAACAGGAAAAGGCTGAACATAAAATTTGCAGAAGCAGTTCTGGTCACCCTTGACTCCACCCTCAGCAAAAGAAAATACCAAGGGTCTTTTTTTCACCTTGAGGCATGTTAAAAATGGCAGGCAAGTGCCAGGTTGCATCATCAAAGCCAGTCCTTTTCCAAATGCGGGGGGCAGGCAGTCATTAGTAAACTTTGGGCCAAGCCAAAAGGCCAGTTCAATAAATCCATCATCCGTCTTATTTACAGGGAACAAGCAGAGGCATGTTTGTCAGGCCATCCAGAGATCAAAGGAAATTCTGAGGTATCTTGCCTTAAAGTGCAGGAGTCAGTCGGCTTTATAAGTTGTCTCCCACAAACCTAGCTGCCTCAGTACCCAGAATTTATAGCTCTCATCTGCCCAATTTTGCCACCTCAGAACCTGGCCACACTTTAAAAAAATATTTCATAAAGTACAATTGTGCTCCAGGAAACCTCTAGGATACGCCCCCCCCCTTTTTTTTCCCTTCTCCTGAGGTAAGGTCTTTCAGCATGCTAGAAGTGTACTTTCAGCCAACCCCAAGTTAGGATTTGGGGCACAGTCTATCCTGCAGCAGAGACAGTGGGAAAACTGATTCCCATAACTGCCTACCCTGTTTTAATATCAAACTACACAATGTGCATTCCCAGGACATTTATTAGTGAATTTAAAAAACAAGACTGTATACCAATTTTATCCACCAGCGCTGTAACTATTGATAAAGGAGATCTCTGTGTAGCATCATGTTTTGTGTGAGTATAACAAATGAGAACTGCAGAAAAGAAAGAAAAGAAACGTTTAATTATTCTCAGTAGATATGTTTTCTTCTAAGCAGTGGAATAAAACATCACACTTGTGCTCTTAGTTTCATCACAGTAAGTATCCTAAGAGCTCAGATATACCAAGAAAGCTCATGGACCATCCCACTCACATGTTCAGTCATCCAAACAAAACACCTAAGAAGATGCACTGCGGATCCAAATAGAACCAATTTCTGATTTTCTGGCACTTATTTCTAAGCAGGTGGCCACATCTACACAATCTAAGGAACTGGAGGAAATTTGAGATGGGCCCCAAAAACATTGATTTGTTTTTCCTTTTGCTGCCCACAGTATGATGAAAGGAGCTTCACACTTCCCTTTTGCCGCGGAACGGGGACTTCCTCTGCAGTTTTGCTGAACTTTGGTGGACTGAGGGCACTTCCCAGCACAGCGTTTGTTCTTCAAAATGTACCAAATCAGTCTGTGATAATATCATTGCATTATTCACCACCCACATGACACAAGAAACAGAATCCATGACTTTGCAAGCTTTTTTGCCCCCTCTTGAAGGTATTGGGGTTCTGGGGGGGATTCGCTTCCTTCCAAGACCGTTGGAGGGGCAGACTTTAGCACTACAACAGGGATCTGCCCTTCCTTCCTTCTCTCCTTTGTTTCCTCAGCCACGCCCAGATTCCAAACAGCTGATTCATTCATCGCTCTGCATTTCTCTCCTGTCACTCAGACTTACCAGAGCACCAGCAAAGGGAACATGCTGGATGATATGAAGGTCAGCTGAATAACTGGGTCTTGGTGATGCTGCCACCATCATATTGTTACACCTGACCCTTGGGCTTGCTTGCCTTCTGAGGCAAAGTAGTAGTAGTAATGGCACTAGCAGCTTGCTTGGGAGACATGTGTGTGTGTGTGTGTGTGTGTGTGTGTGTGTGTGTGTGTGTGTGTGTGTGTGTGTGTGTTCCAAGACAACATAGGCACAATCCTGGTAAAACCAGCTCCCATGTGACAGAGATGACTCGGAAAATGGAAGGAGGAACCAGCCAAAAGTAAGTTTCATGCATATGTAAGAATACAACACTCCTGTGACTCTCACTTGTCATCCTGCTCAAAGCAGGCTGATACCAGTTTTGTCCAATATAGTTGGGGGGGTTTTTTTAGGAAAATCATGCATATTATACCTTCATTTCAGTGGTTAAGAGAGAAAACTGTTAGATGTGGTTCTACAGGACAAAAGCGCAAATCCCTTTCCAACCTCTCTCTTGGGCAAAACATTTACCCTAGTCTCACATTCCTTCTTTTCCAAATATTTTGAGATAAAAACAGTAAAGGGCAAGTTGAATCACTATATAAGTGAAAACATATGGTGGTTACTTACCTCCTAAACTATCAAGATCTTCAAGAATTCGACCAAACCTATAAAGGTTGAAGTGGAACACAGTAAACACAACAGCGCCAAATGGATCGGTGTTTACACGACTGAAATAAAAATTAAAATATAGCTGTTTTCACCTGACTGTGTTATGCACATTGAGATACTTCTCTCTTATTTCAGGCTGGCTCCCCAAAGGTAGGATAACTTCTATATAGCTGTCACTCATTTTCCGAGGGGTCAGGTCACTTTGGGTTTTGGCAAGAAGTGTATGTAAGGCTTTTCTTTCATTCATTGCTTGCACATGGTCTCTGTGGAGGAAAAAAACCAACCAAATGGGAAACTATTATTACTGCATTAAATACTGTACAGGCAGTGGACAGTAACAATGAAAATATCAAGCTTTGAGCTGGAACCTATTGTTTAAATTTTAATCTAATCATAAACAGAGTTATGGCCCTTGGTACCAGTTTTAAGCTTTTTTTTACAACAGAGTAACAATAAGGAAGGCTCAGCTTGGCAGCTCATTTGGAGCAGACTAGTGTGGACTAAATTGGATCACTCAAGTTCTGGTAGAGATCAGTATGCCATGTAGTACAATCTTTGTATCCACATGGCATCCACACACCAATGACCCTATTTGGTCCACCTCTTTCCAGGAGGAAGCTTTCAATTTTTTAAGGTACAGTGCATTAGTGCTGCCCTAATTGGGTGTTTTTTTAATTGCTTCCTTCCTCTGATTCACAAAGGAGCAGAGGAAGGAATTTTTTGAATTTTGCAATATCATTGGCTAAGTTGTCTATTTCAGCTACTAATGGTATTAAGGAATGGAAACCAGCTTGGAAATTAAAACAGGAAGCTCTGCTTTGGTTCTATCCCAAAAACTGCATGTGCTGGAAACAAACTAAAACAAAACTATTGTACCTGCACCTAAAAATGAGTAGCCCCTGACAGGGATTCAGAAAGGTGCAGATAAGAATGCTATGGGGACCGGCTGGTTCGCTCAAGCAATCATGTTGCCTGATGACTGTTAAAAATAACAAACCTGTCCATGTCTGCAACAGAACAAAGAGTGGGATAAATGCCAGTGTAATCACATCCTGACCTTCTTTGCTGTCGTTGGTTTTGAAGGATAAGTAAAACAATGGATGGGCACACTTAGGTAAATGCCACTATCATCTAAGAGTGTGGTAACACATTAAAGAATAACGAAGGTATGCTCATTTTTACACAGCTACAGGACTCTTTGTTATTTTTGTTGAAACTGACTAACAAGGCCATGCGTCTGGAAACTGAAATCCTACACCCCCTCCTCTTCCTAAGGACAAAGGCATTCAGTGTTAGAAAAGAGAGCTAGTTCAGTTTCTGAACATTATATTCCATAATTTATTTCATCATTCCAGGACTGTTTTCCAGGCACATTAAAAATTATACGGACCATACCTCCAATTGGTGGATGCTCCCACTATCTCTCTCAATCTGTTTCTCACTGAAACAGAACAAAAACTGGTCAGAAATATTTGACAAGGAGCAGCAGTGAGTAAAGACTATGACTGTACTTCCAAAAAGCAGAAATGTATACAACAAAGTCATGCAAAGAGTGCAGATAATCAGTGCTCTAGTAGACATGCAATTGTAAGTAGGGGACATGCCATTGTAAATAGGGGACATCACAGCAGGCTTAAAAGTTACAAATATACATTCTGCTTTGGTAATATGACTTTTAAAAAATAATGCAGCTTTCAATTAATCAAAATATGCTAGAACATCTTAGGAGTACCACTGCTTCTAGCTATACCTATCAATTGAAGGGTCATAACAGTGGCCTTCATATATGCAGTTTACAAATGGATAATTTGGAGAGCTTTAAACATTTCATATCCTAAGCCTGCATACAGTTTACATTTAGGGCACATCCACAGAAGAATGGCTCATACTCCTGATTCCAGACTTTAGTATACAGTCTGGACGAATGTCCCCATAAAATACAGGTATTTTTCTCCTGGACCACAACTGGGCACTCAGCAATGCAGGCTGCCGTGCAATTCTCCCTAATGGTCAGGAAGACAAGAGGAGAAACTGTGACAGGAAAAACCCAACTAAGCCCAGAAGAAAACTCTGTAGGATTCAGTCACCTTTGGATAAGTAAGTGCAGATGCCACTGAAAATTCTGTAGTTTTTAAAAACATCAGTCCTCAGATTTCCAAAGTGAAACTGCACGAACCTCTGCTTCCATACCAGCTAAACTCCACCTTGAAACCTCTCTGTTCTTTATGTAGTTCACTGCCCAATTCAAATATGTTTCTCTGCTCCTTTCTCTAATCAAAAAGTTTCCTTTCAGAAGTGAGGTGTGGTCAAGAGACATTTCCAACTAACAAGCATTTACTGCTGACAGAAACAGACTCAGGGTGCAACTACAGAGTGGAAAAAAATACACTTGGATCTGATGTGATTCCATTTCCCCTTCCCCCCCCCAAAAAAATTGGGTTTCTGTGGATGAAATTGTTGTAGCTATCCAAATAGAAAACAATTTGCAGAAATTATAAATTAGCCTTTGGATTAGATGATCATACTGGGCAGAAGTTGGACAAAAGCAAGGTCAAATAATTGAAGCATATGTAAACCACCCCCACCAGCTGGACAGAACCAATTTTACTCTGGGCTTCTGTACTCTGAGCTTTGACTTGAATTCATATGTGCCTAATCTGTTACCTACAGCGTAAATGTCCAAATGTCCCTTCATAAAAGGCCTTCTGGCAGCTGTTCCCAAAATCATATATACTTTTAAGGATATAAATTATCTTTAATCTTGAATGCATATATGAAAACATATGGTAACTACATATAAAATGCCTTTTGAGTTCCATTAGTTTATATATTGTTCTGTTATTTGGATTTTTTACTAAGAAAGGCATGCAGAGTGTTCAAGAACACTACTGTTTTTCAGCTAGCACTGAAAAAGGTGTGGTCTGTTATATGAAGGTCCAACAGCATAATCCATAATCCCTAAAATTATTCTGTAACAGCTGCCTCATCTGTAAAACAGCCATGTACCTTTACTCTTCAAGTCATTCCTGTTAATTTTAATTCAAGCAAAGCTCTGTTAACAAAATTGCATTTGGGTAAGATACACACTTGTATTATACCTGGCAATGAAGACTTCAGGACTAAAGGGCAAACTATACATTACAGATCAAATACTTAAAACATCTGTTTATCACAGCTGGAACTTCTCATACCTCCCACAGTTTGCAAATTAACTCGCTTTGTTTACTAGTTGGTCACAAGGAGGTACACATGGGCTTCATTTCCAAGTACAGTTACTCAAAGGCAAAAGTCTGCCAAAACCACATCTCTGGACCACTATTGTGATTTCAGCTTCTAACTATCTTCAATGCAGTTTGATTCTAAATGGTTGAGCTACCTTTATACCAGTTCAAACAACAAAACTGTTTGCAGTCCATCTGCTGTGAAGGAGGGAAGCTGTCAGTTACACTGGGATTAAGAACTTCACAGTCATCCTAAATTTGGGGCAGGGTTGGGATGGCCGTTAGCTGACGTGAGGAAGCTACCTCAGGTGCTGGAGTGCCTGGGATAGCAGCAGAGCTTCTGCCAGCCACTCACCACCAGCTAATCCCCTGGCACCTATGCCCCAATCCACAGTTGCCACACAGAATTACTTATGGGGGATGAAAGATGCGGAAGAAGAGGACAGCAATGGCCGCAGTAGGTTAGTTTGCATTGCTGCTGACTGACTGCTCACCTTCAGAGCACAAAGCAAAAGTGTGTGTTCTGCTTATATACTGCCTCATAGTGCTTAAAGCTCTCTCACAGTGCTTAAAGCACAGCCACTGCATAGCCACTGTTTGCTAAGACTCAGCTTTCCACTGTGGGAGGCCATCCACACGTGATGCCTTGATTTTGAAGACTCAGGCCTTAGGCAAACGGCTGGCTGCTCTCCAAAGGTGACCAGACAGACAGGGGCAATTAATGCTGGTCTTTGGCCCTAAAATGTAATTATCGGCAGCAATCTGAAACAACCTGCTGTCCCTACTGACATCATGTTATTTTTTTTCTTCCCCTCCACTGCCCTGAAAGTGTTCCTGAGCAATGTTGGGGGCCATGCACAGCAGACATCCGAGGCAACACTTGAGTGCCTTCTCCCATTTCAAGCTGTCGGACAGTTTATGCCAGCTCTGCTTTTGGGCGTAGGAAGAGAACAGACAAGAGGTCCCACAATTCAGGGAGCTCAGAGCCAGAACCCTTTAAAGAAGGGTATAAATATGGGCAACAGACTGGGAAACAAGAAAAAGAAGAGTGAGTGGAGCAGACAGGAGTCTTGAGGAAAGGTATAACTGAGATAAGTAGCAGCTACTGGGAACTCAAGCAGTGAAACAAAACAAAAAAAAAACAAAAAAGGAGGCAGGACTGAGGTAAAACCTCTCAAAGAGCCTACGAACAGGCAGGAGTAGGTGTTTGTGCTAGTATTTGGACCATATTTATTTCAAAGTTCTGCAAAATGTCACCATCACCAGAAGAGGCATGTTTTTCCTTATGCTATTCCTGTAAACGAGTGTGTATGGACAATAGGCAGGAGGAAAACAGATGCAACAAAAATCTGGATGGCTAGCAACCTTGGACGAAGGAGCCAGAAGGATAAAGAACTACATAAATTGACGCAGGTATCTAGATTGAACCCTAGTCTGTACATAAAGCTCTGAATCTGGTAAGTTATGGTCAGTGTAGACATTGTTGTTGTTATGTGCCATCAAGTCGAAACCAATTTATAGAGTGCATCCAACTTATAGTGACCTGAATAGGGTTTTCAAAGTGAGATATTTACGGGCAGTTTTACCAGTTCCATACATCCCAGTGTATTTTCATGGCTGAGCAAGGATTTGAGCCGAGGCCTCCTGATGAGTCCTAGTCCATCATTCTGCCTACTACACCGCACTGGATATCCAATGTAGGCATGCATCAATGTTATTTTGATCAATGACAAGCTTGATTTGCTTTGCAGTGTGAACTTATTTAGTGTTATTAACAACAATGATCCATTATAGCTGAGAGAAAATGTGAGTGTGAATTTTTCATTAACCCTTCAACCAAGACAGATAGAAGCAAGAAAGTTGCAGATATATAGTCATTTTAAAATGCATACAGGTTACCACAACACACCATTATTCACATGAATGGGTAACTGCCCTGTGAAGTAGAAAAAGCAATTTATATTAACAACATAACTGTAAAAATAAAAGGGGGGAAATATTGATATTGTTTTCCTGGTTATTCTGTATTCAGTCACAAAACAAAGACAAAGATGCCCAAATGCAGATTAACATGTTGTATCATACTGGAAATTTATTTCTACTACAAAATTAATATAACCCTTTATTTATTTTCCAGGCATATATATAGCACTGCATATATTTAATATTTATTTCTTTATTTTATTTGGTTTGTTTTTTTCCCTTCACACTATAACTCTACTACAGAGAGAGGTCTTAATACCTAGCAGAAAAGTAGCAAATATTGCTTTCCAATCCAGAGCTTTGCCATCAGTATAAGATTTGCTTGTTTGTTTTAAAACTTGCAATTTTTCTCCTTCACCACCCTGCAGACTCTGAGATGCATTACGACATGACCACTTATGTCCAAAAAGCCATATTGTCACATCATCCACAGTTCAGTTATATTACCTTCCTTCATAAGAAGTGAAGCTTGAGAGCCATCAGTGGAGGAAGTCAGACTCCTAGTCAAGACAGGACAGGCTTTGCTGAATGAAAACAACCTGCACCAAGAAGAATATTAAGCACTGTCAACTTCAGTATGGTATTTTTAAATACACTAAGGACAGAATCCAGTGTTTGAGGTCTACTACTACAGCATATAGAAATATACAAAGGTGTGTTAAACTGTGTCAGACCTTCCATCTATCTAGCTGTGAGGCAACGAGCCACCTCACCCAAGATCAGGAGCGTGTACCGTCCGAGTCTCAAATAAAGACAGAAGCACAAGAGACAGGAGTGATAGAAAAGGAATTAAGTAAACTAGAAATAAAAGAAGAGGCTGAAGGGGATGCAAATCAGGCAGGAAAGGAGGAGAATAAGAAGGAGGGAGAAGGAGGGGTAGAGGCAGAAGCATGTTGGGGTAGAGAGGAGAAAGGAGAGGAAAAGGAAGAGCTAGTAGAGTTGATCAGGGAAGATCCTTGGACAGGAGAGTGGGTGGAATTCAAGCTGCCTCATGAGTACGCTGAAAGGGAATGGAGACGACAAATGTATAGAAAGCCACCATACTGCAGGGGAGACTGAAGTGCAAAAGCAAAGGAAGGAATATAGAGCGTGGGTGAAGAGGGAAGAACAAAGGGTCTGTGGGCCCAGCCCCTTCAGACCCCAACAGAGAATGATATATGGCTCGACAAAGGGGGAACAGCAAGGAGCTATATGACATTTCATCCACAAACTTGAAGTGAGCTGAGAACACACCGTTCATCCACAAACTTGAAGTGAGCTGAGAATACACCAGAGTTGATGGGTGCCAGACACAAATGGTCCCAAGATGTTAACAGTTATTCCCTGTTGTCTTACCATGAAGAGATACCCAGTTTTAATAATGTAATGATTTGATTTGTTGTTGAAGTTGGATGATGATAAGCAAGACTCTAAAAATGATGAAGCCATGTTAAACAATGAACTGGTTTTATTGGAAGAATTGAGTGTGACAAATACTTCTTTCAACAAAGTAAAGAGGTACACTCCTCAGATTCACAGCCATGCCCTGTCAATGGGACAACCTGTACTAGATCTGCTAGAAAGAATGCCCTCCTGTTCAGTTCAGTGGGAGGAAAATGATTATTTCAAAAGCTGCCATCGGTGACAATGATGTGAAAGGAAACACCGCTCCAACAGCTAAGATTGCCATGACAGAGTGCTGCCACACAGTAAATTACAGGAAAGGAACAGCCATGCTACAGCGGAAAACTGTTAAGGATGCATCCCATGTCTCTTTCCCACTTCCTGTGCCACCTGGGATTAGTGTGTGTACATCTGGCCTGAACACTTTTTCAACTCAGCCATGGAGAGCAATGTCTTACACACACAGGGCAGGGTATTCATCCCCACAAACAGATTAACCCTCAGCTAGCTACGGCCAGACATACAACTCAAACCCATGCCACAGCTGAGTGAACAGCCATAAGCACTGTTGCCTTGCTCAATAACAGCCTAGACCAGTGGTTCCCAACCTTGGGTAAACCAGGTGTTTTGGACTACAATTCTCTGAAACGTTCCCAACCTTGGGTAACCCAGGTGGTTTGGGACTACTGTACAAGTCTCTGAAACCTTGGCCAGCACAGGTAGTGATAAAGGCTTCTGGGAACTGCAGTCCAATAACACCTGGGCTATCCAAGGCTGGGAACCACTGGTCTAGACACATGAAGTTGCACAACCTCTGGGTAAGCAGTTATATGGGTGGGTAGCATTTCAACACACATACACACCATTCAATCACTGCAGTTTCTCCCTCCTTGGGAGGGAGGCTGAGGCTTGAGTCCTGGAGGTGCCCTATACAGCCACCCTCTCTTTTTCTTCCCACACCTCCCTCTACTCTCTTATCCTTTCACCAGTACCAGTTGTGCATCCGCACTTCAGCCACCCATTTGCTGCTTCTTGCAACGTCTGTGCCTTCATCTGTTCTTCGCAGGTACCATATCATTTTGGCGGGATTTGCATTTCCCGCACCTGCGTAAAGACTTAAGCCCCAGATGGTGTGGTGTGTAGTGTACTGTAACTGTTCAGAAAAACTGCACTAAAATGCACAGGCACTTAACAGGCACAGGGGAAGGCCGTCTGTGTGTCAAGGCAAAGACCCTGCAGGAGCCACCAGTGCCCACCTCCACTATTATTATTCGTTAACCATTCATGCCCACAGTCCCGTTCACACGGAGAGGAGGAAGCCCATAGATGCTAAGGGGGCTTTCTTTCTGAGTAAACATCCGGTGCTTTAGGGCTGCTTTTTTGCTCTTCCGGCTGGAACAAGCCCGGCCTCCTCCATTCCAGAGACGACAAAAGGGTGGCGAGTGCTTCCCTCCCAGAGAGAAAGGCCGGCCCCCACGCAACACCTGGCGATCCTCGCTTTCCCCACGGCGCGCGGGCAGGAAGGCTCCGGGACAAAAAGGGGAAGAGGGGACCGCCTTCTCATCCGGGGGATCAGCTGCTCTGCTCGCCTGTCGGTGCCCGACGTCCTCCCGCGCCACGAGGCTCCGTTCTTCGCCGCGCCGAGGGCGCTCTTTTCCTGCCCCGCCGGCTTAGGTGGCTGCCAAGGGCGGCCCGGGAAAAAGCCGGAGCCGCAGACCGGCCAGGGAAGTGTCTTACCTGCGCGACAACATCTTTGCTGCCCCTTCGCCGAAGCGGCAAAGCGTCCGAAGCAGCTCTCCGCCGCGGCCCCAACCCTCGGGGCTGGTGGGGCGCTGCCTGCCTGCCTGCCTCCCAGCCAGGCGCCACGCCTGTGACAGGAACTCGGCCCTCCGGGCCAGGCCCGCCAAATTCTTCCAAACTGCCGGGTTTTTTCTTTTACCAATGACGCAGAGCTCCCCCCCCTTCCGCAAAGTAGTTGCTCCCAGTGTTTATTTCTGCGCCAAGAGCTTGGGCTCCTCCATTTGTTATTGAGGGAGGGTGGAGTTGACTTCGTCCCCGAATAAAAGATGATTTAGTGCTTTTACGAATTCGAGCGGGAGGGGATAAAAATACTTTCATTTATGAGTATCGGTTGGGCCGTTGTTCTGTGCGATGCTATGCTAGCGTTCCCCTTTTATAAGTGATTGAGAAGCCTATGCAATGTGGTGCTTTGGACCACATCTTAAAACACGTATCGTGCACGTGTCATGGACAACGACTTCTTAAAACAGGTACATTATGATGTTTGTCTAACCAGAAGCAATTCCCACAGAATTCAGTGAGTCCCATTCTAAGACAAGTGGGTAAGGGATTACATTCTCTCAAGTGACTCGTCCTTCCATCAGTCATTCCTTTCCGTTTGCGCCTTTCATGTGACCACTCACGTCCTTCACAAAGCTTCCCTTCTGTGAATAAAAGAAGACGTCAAGCAAGAGGCCTTTTTTGTTTTCCTTCAGTGCTTCCTGGGTCCCTTGGAAATTTGCTCCTAGGTACCGAGAGACCTTCAGCAATTGTTTGGGATGTTAGACTTGGAGAGCTTTAGATGGAAAGGCAGCTCTCTGAGCCTTACCTATATGTATGGTAAAACTAGCACGCAAACAAAATGATTGCATCCAAATACAGTGGGGTCTTGACTTAAGAACGGCTCGAGTTAAGAAAGATTTGAGTTAAGAACTGAAAAAAACCCACGTGGGAGGCAGGGAAAGTGCAAAAAGTGAACTTTCAGTTAACTGTTGGCCAGTGAAAAGGGTGCCTGTCTGCTTCCTCACTCCTCCCAGCGTTTAGAGAGTGGATTGGGAGGCAGTCTTCGGGCTGCCTGGGACTGTACTGCCTGGACTGTCTTTTCCCTGCCTTCCCTGAACCTTTCTTGACCTAAGAAAAAAGAAACAAAATATCCTCCTCTAGTGGTCGAAGGCAGAATAGCAGCTTCCCATTAGTTTCTATGGACGGAAAAGAGCAGATACGGATCAAATGGTTTTCAATGCATTCCTATGGGAAACGCAGATTTGACTTGAGAACTTTTTGACTTGAGTACTGCCTTCCAATACGGATTAAGTTCTCAAGTCAAGACCCCACTGTAGTCTACCCACATAATATTACTCTTTAAATCTGATTTCATACTTGTAGTCTTCAAAGTGGTAGCTGTGTTAGTCTGCAAGCATATCAACAAGTAGCAAAAGAAATGGAAGGCCAAAAAAAGAAAAAGACAAATGTGGCACCATAAAAACTAACTTGCTATATTTTAATATGAGCTTTCATGGAACAAGTCCACTTCTTCAGGCATACTTCAGCACCTTTATTCTTTTTAGTTTGGTTTTTTTTTTTCCTGATAGATAAGATTTCACAATGTATCTCTACATCCTTAGTTCTTTAAGCAATTGTGAAGTGCTTTTTTAATGGCTTCAAGGGTGTAAATTTTTTTTTAAAGCAACAAATTTTCTTGGAACTGCAGCTAATCCCTTGTGCATGCATATGTGCCAGGGAGGGACAGGATGAATAGGAGGTAGGAGTTGTGCTCCAAGTCAAAACCTGCTTAGACCATGAAGCCTGAGATAAAGAAGCCTGCTCCTTTCTTTGCGGTTGAATATTTACAGATAAAAGCCTGCCTCACTTGATACTGTAAACAATTGTTACTGAAATATCTTCACAAGCCACCTTTTTTACTACATAAGCCACTTAGAGAGTTGACGGTAGTGAAAATGGTATATTGATATTTTAAAAGAAATAAATCATTTCAGCCAGCTTTGTCCCCAAAGATCAAATTATCATATGGTTAGTTGAGTTAAATTTGCCTCAGTTTACTTCAACTGACATAGTCTCATTATATTCAATTTGCCTCAGTTTACTTCAACTGACATAACATAGTCTCATTATATTAAGTTATAGTCTGGTGTTGAGAAAGAAGAAAAATGTTTCTCTTTTACTTACAAAATCTTCCTATCAGAATGCAAACTAAAACATATTCACTGGTTACATAGTACAATAGCTTAACTGGCTAGCTTAATTGTTGGCTTCACTTGGCTGGTTGCATAAACACTCAGAGCACTGACCACTGTCATTACAAAGCTGACTCAGAACCTTGATATTGCTAAACTGACACAGCATCCTGATTGAGATTTTTAAAAGGCAGGAAAAGGAATCAGATGTAGAGAGGGAAACAATGGCTACTCTTAAGTGATTGACATTCAACCAAAGTCCCTCTCATCCAAACTTCTTAAAGGTGTAATATGTAGGTTGCTATTCCAAAAGCTACCTGGCCCAGCTCTTTTCCTTGAACACTAAATGCTTGAAAAGAAAGCCACCACAGTTCTCTGTGTTGTAAAAAGGCAGCAAACAGTAATGTAATTTAGTATGAGTGTAATGATACCACCAAAGAATGATGTTTGTGAGATCTTTATTCTTAATGCCAAAAGTAACTTGACTACCATTGAATATTACGCTGTACAACTGGCTAGGTTTGAAGGCAGGGCAGCATTTTCTGCTCTGCCTCAGCAAAACACATCTTGGGCCAGCCCTGCGTGGCCATATCAGCCCTCTTCCTAATAGCTAAGGCAGACAAATATGCTTAGCATATCCTCACCCTGCCTTGCCACTTTCTTTTCTCTGGAGATCAGATATGAGATATGATAAACAGAAGCTTATCTGAGAGTGAATTTTTCCCTTCTCTGTTTTTAGGGATATATATTCTGAAACAAGAAATAGTTTCTGCTGCTTGCATAAGTTTTCAAATATGATTCACCACTTTGCTATGGATTATATTTTTGAAGATGGGGGTGGGCCTGCATGTGAAATCATCCATGACTGTAGCCCGCCTGTGGAAAGAGGATTAAACATTTTTGTCAATTAATCCTTGAGTGGCCTAATTTAACCCTAAGAAATCAACATTCTCTATGAAACTATTTGGTTTGTAAAAAACAACTAAGAGTCCTGTGTCATCTATGTCTGTGTTAACTGCTTAGCAATTGGCAGGATGTTTGTGTTATCAGCAAAAGTTTTGTGAATAGCCAGTGACAACCACATAATCATCCTTTCCTTATTTAATTTCTTTCCTGACTTCACCATTTAGTCCCACCCCCAACCGTCTATACCAGTGATGGCGAACCTATGGTATGTGTGCCACAGCTGGCACGCAGAGCCCTCTCTGTGGGCACACGAGCCATGCCCATGCCCATGTCGGCCCAGTGCAGGGAGCGGCACCGCTTGCTGCCAGGGCTCAGCTCAAGCTCACACGGCTGCCTTGTCCCCTGCCCGAGGCGATCAGGTGAGGGCAGAAGGAGCATGAGGAAGCAGAGGTGAAGGAGGAGCCGTGCTCGGCTGCCCCTCATGGGTACTCATTAACTGCAGCTCCGGCACCTCTGGAGAGCAAGCATACGGGGGCAGAGGGCATGGCAGGAAGCCCAGACAATGGTCCTGGAGGAGGGAAAAGGAGCCCCCTGGCTGCCCTCTGGAGGACATGCCAGCCCCAGGGGTGCCTGCTGATTTCGGCACTCAGGCTCAAAAAGGTTCACCATCACTGATCTATACTGTAAATATGTTACGTGCTTTCATGTCAGAACCAACTAATAGCAACTCTAATGGGTTTTTCAAGGAAAGTGAGATATTTAAGAAGTTTTACCAGTTTCCCTGCCAACCTAGCAGTTCAAAAGCATGTAAAAATGCAAGTAGATAAATAGGTACCACCTCGGTGGGAAGGTAACGGCATTCCGTGTCTAGTTGCGCTGGCCACGTGATCACGGAAACTGTCTTCAGACAAATGCTGGCTCTATGGCTTGGATATGGGGATGAGCACCACGCCCTAGAGTTGGACACAACTGGACTCAATGTCAAGGGGAACCTTTACCTTACCTTTATCAGTTTCACACCCCCAGTGAGCTTCCACGGCAGAGTAGGAATTCAAACTAAGGCTTCCCGAGTCCTAGTCTGTCACTCTATATATTATGCCACACCCAGTATCCCACACTGAAAATATACCCTACTCGTTGCCAAGGCAGAAAACTATGTTTAACATCACCCTATCCCCCGCCAGCCATTTTCTTTTCTCAAGTGTTGAGTTCAGATGCAACATGTGACAAACAAAAGCTGACATTCCAGGTAATACTTCACACATCTGGTTAAGTGGACTGTATAAAGATTCCGTTATGCTTCAGCCTGACTTTTCAGCCCACCAGGCTGCATCACAGAACTTGAGTTTAACTTTAGATCCTGCAGCTCAGTCTTCTAGCTAGGACAATTTTTGGACTTTTTACCCCACAC